AAAGGTCCAGTGTAGGATTAAGTGGCATCAAGCAGTGTAGTTGCATAAGGCAACTCACTCGCTTCACCCTACAGCGAGAAACTAGAGCGGCCATAAAACGCGTGAAACAAACACCCCAATCTACAGCCAGTGTTGGATTTTTCCGAGAAACGTGCCATATAACATGGTCGCCTTCACGGAAAGAGATAAAAACAAAAAGGAGAGATACACTAAATGATAACACACAATTACATCTGACAATAGATCCTCCTAAATGTTACAAACTGGACCTTTAAGTTTCCAAGAGCTTGATAGAAAAGAGTGACAGACAAGATCTACTAATGAGGGATTTTCATTCTACTGAAATATTCAATTTTCACATTTATGAGGAAAAAGTAACTTTAGCTTGAACTCAGTGAAGCTCCTCGTTCACAAATGATTACAGGTATCTTCAGTTCTGTTTTAATTCATCAACACTGATACCTTCACATCGACGGCGTGCGCATGATAAAACCTCGCTCTGTGATCAATGTGTAGTAATGGAAAGTGGCCGTTCTCCCAACAAACACGTTGTGCTTGGAATCGAAAGGAGCTCATCATCAAGGATTTTGTGTTAACTTGTTTATTGACAGCTGTTCAAGAGATCAAACTGAGAATAAAACATCTTTTATCTCCTCATACGCACAAGATCGCTGCTCTCCTCTGACGCTGGTTTTTGATATCTACTCACTGATAGTACGAGACATACGTTCAGACAGATCTGTTGGGTCAAAACTGTTTTTAATTACACCTACTTATCTCTTCCTTGTCTGATAATAGGATACATGTGGATATCAAAAACTACAACTCATATCTCAAAGATTTAAAAGATTTGTTCTGACTGAGCAGGTGAAACTTACCTTAATTTAAGACTTTTAAACCTGTTTATACCCTGATTTGAGGTTTCATAAAACATAGTGACTAAGTGAAAATGTAACTGGACTACTTGTGATCATTCACAGGCTGACAGGTGACATTAAAAAGGCCTCTCTACCTGTGCAGCTCCTGTCCCAGTGTCTCAGACCCGTCCTCCGGGAGCACTTCGTACATGTCATCTTCCTCCAGCCTGCGTTTGTATCCAGTGCGAAACAACGGGTTGAGCCACCTGATGGGAGAAATAATAATAATAAAGAGTTAATTCATGGTTTTATTCAGGTGGTCACCAATACCACATGTTGTCAGAGTCATCAACACTTACAGGATGAATTAATGTGAGCACATGTGTCTTTAAATGTGTGGATAAGCAGTAACAATGTGCATTATCTATGTATTTGTGCCAAAATACACCATAGTTGAGACATGTGTCCAGCCTTTCCATGAGTAACCAGGACTAATGATTCAACAGGAAACTACCATTGCACAAACCAAGTTACACAGATATGACTCCACTGGGAAGTTTCCTGACCGACTACCAAGTCTCCCCTCAACCTAGAAACAACTTTAAATAAACTCAAGTCACATTTTATCGACCGCACTCGTCTGGTTTCCTGTACAACCTTTCCCTCCTGGTAGTTTGGCGTCAACACGGTAAACGAGAACTACAACAAACGACGGCGTCTCGGCGTTTGAATCCCCCGCTAACAGCGAGGTTAGCTCAGCCGACTTACCAGAAGAATATCTTGGACAAAAGGCCCGCCGTCGCCGCCGGGTTGGTTTTTGAAGCTCTGCTGACTTCTTCCATGATTACACGGTAGTTCACCTCTTTAAAACTTTCTGCTCCTGGCTGAGTGGCGTTACGGCGGGGGCAATACACATGTTAAGTTACATGGAGGTCGGCACCCTCTTCCCCCCCAAAAACAACCCCCCCCCCACCTTACAAGGTGTGTTACGTGCTCCTTAAAGTGCACCAGCCGCCAGCTGCATAGAGGAGATCCAAAAAATAAAAAGAGAACCCCATCTCGAGTGGTCCCGCCCCGGAGGACGCTGATTGGCTGACATTAACGTTCTCCCCCAGGCTATTGGCTGTCGCTTGCGTTCTGCGTCCCTGTGATTGGTCCAGAGTATTACCATGTGTTCTGCTTAAATTAATTGAGAGTCTATTAGGACAAATGAAAGCAAGGCTTCAGCTTGATTTCACCGTCAACTGTGAAGGAACATATTATTTTAAGTTTTATTTTTAAGTCTACTTTTTATGTAACTAAATATCGTCCCTCAAGTGAGGGGTAAAAATGTGTTTATGGGAGTTTAAAAACACCGGAAATGAACAGTTGCATAATCTGACACACAACTTTCAATATGACTGTATAATATGAATATTTGTGTTGAAAGCTTTGTTTCATTTTGTTATATTTTTTTATTAACTTGTTTGTATATTTACTTATATGTCTGTTAAAATTTAAATTGGTATTTCTTAGTTGTATCGTGTGGTTAAATGGATTTAATTAATAGAATTAGGTCATTATTATGTTTAATTACTGTGAAAGATGTGTTCAATATGAGTGTAAATCTGAGTGAAGTCAGCATTGGCATTCAAAAATACACTGTCAGGGGAAAATATCACAGTTTAAATTAACTTAAGTAATTGAAACAGATCCAAACTTTCTATTTTTTGTGTGACCTGCGGCAAACTAGTCAGAATTACTCAGCAAAATCTCCAGTTCTCCAGTCTCACACACACACACACACACACACACACACACGCAGACGCTCCGGACTTGTACAGACATGTATACTCACTTCCTGCCTTCATCTCATGATAAACTAATAGGCTATGTGTCACTTCCGATAAGAAGAAGTGTAGTGTGCCAATACAACAATAACAAGTGTGACTTTATAAGGGAGAGTGAGGCAAAGTAAAGTGTAACTAGCATCAAGTGTAAAATGTCTCAAGTTCATTTGTGTTTGCTTGCTCTTTTTCGCTGTCTTTCTGATCCCTTGAACAAACACAGAGACACGTGATGTCTGTACACACACACACACACCACCACAGCACACAACACAACACACACACACACACACAGGATTTCCTATAATTAAAGAGCAGGCTGTAGATGACAGATGCCCTCTGACACACTGCAGGTGTTTCCTGACTGAAATAAAAGACCTGAGAGACAGTAAAGAGATTACAATATCTCCCTCCTTTCCTAAACTACAAACCCTCCCTTCACCCTCCTTCTCCCATTTCAACGTTCAAGGAAACTTTTCAAGAAATCCAGTAACATGTAACCAAGGTAAACTGTTATCCTGACACTGACAATACAAAGATAACACACCGGACTGGCCCTGGCCCTTACACCTCGCACGTTATCCTCCAGTTGATGTTTAGCTAGCACCGACTGGGAAAAGGGCTGGAGGAGAAAAGCCAGCAGGAGATTATTACAAGCAGCTGAACTCCAGCCCGACAACATTCATCTGCAGAGGATCAACAATCCTTTCCCATGCTACTCCAGCCGTGTGATAGGCCTAGTTTTTCCTCTCATATTGCCAGCCCAGGTTATTTTCTCCCCTCAGTGAGCACACAGGAAGAAGTCCTCGTCTTCTTTTTATTTTAATTACAGTTTACAAGATTTATGCAGCATGACTTATTGATTCGGTTCAGATAAATCGGACAAAAGTTGTCAATTCAATCGGATTGGCTTCAGTGGGAAGGGAAATATTTAAAGATACAACATAACATAGCAGATTTTACTTTAACAAACAGCATGAAACAGATAATAAACAGAGATTACAGGAGACAGGAGTCCAACATTGATCACTTTCATCCTGCTACACTGAGATTTGAGATCAGCATTTGCACTAAAAGTCAGTTATCAGGACAGAAATCTGTTTGTGTCCTACATGAACAATGAATAAAGGCTCAGCTCATCATATGTATGGTCTAAATGGGATGTCATCAACAGGTTAACACAGATAACAACCTGTTCCAGCTCATTCACTTTCATTAGCAGGTTTACAGGATTAGGGTCCCCACTGAGATTACTCAGCAACAGCAGCCATGGAAACGCGCTTCAACTATCTAGAGATTGAGGTAACAACGCTCTCAGGACCTTCTCGCTGTCATCTGGTGACAGTAAAACACCTGGTTTAGTGTTGCTGGAATGCTAACTATGAGAGCACTGTACCTGTGTCCATTTAATGACCCCAAGAACTGCCCCCCGAGTCAGTTGGGGGCAGCTGCAGCACAACAGTGTGCTGTAATTTTTTGGGTAATTATTTGCCTCCACCAGGAATTAGATCTAATCCTTGTAGAAACTCTCTGCAATAAAAGAGGGTGACCCACAACAACACTGCAAACAGATCTTCAGAGCCAGATTAAGAATTTATTAATTAGTACCGGACCTGCTCCGCTCAGAGTATTTGGAGGTTCTTGTACTTTATTAGTATTTTCATTTTATGCTACTTCACTACATTGTATATGAAATATAGTATTTACAAGTTACTTTCAGATTAAGATAATTATAAATCCAATTATGTTACAAACAAAACATTTAATCAGCTTTTAAATAGTTATTATGGTTTAAAACAACCTACAGTTTAAGCTCCTTTCAGATGCTTTATGTAAATGTATCTCCAACTCGACTTCCTCAACGTACTGGTTACACGTGAATGCATCATTGAAAATGACCCTGTAATGCATGAGCTAATCTCACAGGGCTGAAATAAAGTTTGGAAATTAAATTATAATTTAAGGTTACTTATCCAATATTCAGTTAATTCAACTAGAAAGAGAGAAATGAGGAAATGTCCTGTCATAGAGCTTGAAACAGTCTCTCCTTTCTGCCACTTGATGGCGCTATAATGCTGTAAAACTGTCAGTATGGTGCTGCTGCTCTAATGAGGACTTCAAATACTGAACTGCTATGTTCAGGTGCAGCATTGCGATAAGGTGCAGAGAATACAAACCTTAAAAAATCAACTTAAATAAAATACAAACAACTCCACATTATTTATTGATTCATTTAATCCACCTCTCTTATCTCTGTTCCTCATCTTGTGCTCCTTCTCTGTCAGAGACTTTTCAGATCCTTTCAATTAAAGACTTCCTCCTCCTGCAGATCCCCTTGCAGACCCCATGCACACCGTGTGGAGTGATGACTAGTGTGTGCACCCATCCCCCCAACCAAACCACCACACACTAACACAACATACAACAACTGATTGTGCGTCAGTGAATGATACAGGTATTGGTTCCCAGGTGTAGATGCTTGGCCGAGCAGGCGAAAGGAGAAACAAAATTCTGCTGACGCACCTGTCCTGGACCGACCCTCCCACCCACTCTCTGTCACTCCTGAGGGAAAGATCTCCGTCCTGTCCCAGTCCGGACCTCCAAGCCACAGGAAAAATGGGCAACATGGCAACAGAGATCGTTGCCTTTCTCCTGACCATCTCGGGCTGGATCCTGGTGTCGTCCACACTACCTACGGACTACTGGAAGGTGTCCTCTGTGGACGGGACGGTCATCACCACGGCTACCTTTTGGTCCAACCTATGGAAAACGTGTGTGACTGACTCCACCGGTGTGTCCAACTGCAAGGACTTTCCTTCAATGCTGGCTCTGGATGGTGAGTTCTGAGATGACTATTGCTGTGGTGGTGTATGATGTTGTCTTTCTGGGGTCAGAGAGCAGAGACAGAAATATGTTTGTACGCGTTTCAGAAGATGTGTGTGCATCTGCGAACCGTCCCTCTGAACCGAAGCGCTGAAACACCTGTTGTTTTTGGATGAATGACCACCATTGTAAACAAATGCAACTGGAACTTGATATTTCCTTTTCTGACTCTGCCTTCAGGCCACAAACAACCATAACACTTAAAGTTAAAGGCCACCAGAGGCATATTTCAGTGAATGAGCTGAGCTGGACTGATGCAACCTACTAATGTGTCCGAATGAAGCAATCTGAGAAAGTCATAGAGTCATACAGGGGTCACTTGTAACTTCCCATTACTTGCTAGTAACAATAAGCAAAGGCATTGCTTGTCGATTTCCTAATTCTAATGTCTTGAGGCAATCTGAGACATTCCCAGTTTCAGAGACACCACTTCTCATATGTTGTCACAAACATGTCATATAGGTGTCGGCCGCTGTCCTTTTCCTCCAAGCCTGTGATTTATTACAGCAGCTCCTGAAAGGCTGTTTTTGAACATTTTAAAGGTCGAGTGTGTAACATTTAGAAGGAGCAGAAAGGGAATATAATGCTCATAGGTATGTTTTTATTATCGTACATTCACCTGAAAATAAGGATTGTTCTTTCGTTACCTTAGAATGAGACATTTTTATCTACAGAGGCAGCGGGTCCTCTTCTACGGAGTCC